TTTAATGCTTTCACCATTCGCTAGTCTTCTATTCCACACAAGATTATTAATAAGCCAAGTAAAATGCTTGGGGATTTTGCAATTTTTTACTATTGACTTTGAATTCGCCTGTTTTTTCCTTACAGCATCCCATTAACGCCAAAACCGTCCCTCCATTAATGTCTATGCGGGCGGAAAAGCGCAACCGTAGAGTGAGTTGAAATGTATTTGACAGCATTCTAAGTTATAGTATTGTACATAAATATAATTTCTATTGTCTTTTAATTTCTGTAATTTCCCTTCTTAGGAAATGCGAAAGAAATCTCTTGCAAAATGGTATGATCTACCGAAAACAGAATTAACAAAAGACGATAAAGAAGATCTGGAATTCATTAAATTACGACGAGTTCTAACCAATGTCAGCGAAGGTGGATCCCATGTTAAGCGCTCTGATAGCCGATGCACTCATTTCCAGGTACAATAAGCAGCTTTCCTTTATAAATTTACCTTGAACCCTCCTAAAAATTATACATATTTGCTAATTCCATCTTTAAATTTTCAATTTATTAGTTTAATATTTAATTTGTCTCTTAAATTATTTTCTATTTTCAGAGAGGTGTTGTTGTTGATGATCCTGGCGATTTCCACCATCGATTGCCCAAGAAGTTGCGCGGACAGACTCTTGTAGATGAAATATGTCGTAATGCAGAAATTATGCGGTACGTGTTCTTTAGACATTTTTTTATTAATTTTTTTAAATTTATGATCCCATCAATCAATTCAAAGCGTCATTTGATTTTTTAGTGAGCAACGTCTACGTTATCGCAAAGTCAAAGCCAGCCAAAATATCAAAAAAGCCGCCATACGTCGACGAAACGCACAAATCCATCGAAAATTGGCGAAGAAAGGTGATCGAGGCCGAAAGATGCAGTTGATTCCTATGAAATGATCTACTGTAATTTATTCAATAATGTATATAAAGAAGAATTTTCGTACCTTTTTTATTTCATTATCCTGGTTATGATAACTTCCTTTCTAAATATGTGTAAATAAGTTTAGATATTAGTTCTTTTTACCTAATGACTTTATAGTCATCCTTTGTTTGTTTTTTTCACGTATTTTGGGTGGCTAGACTCACATTATCTTGATATAAATGCGTGAATTATTTAAATTGTCTTGCAGATCTAG